CAGGAATCAACAAATTATATTGACATAAAGCTCAGTTTCTAGCCATACAACAATATTTAGATATATGTAGACTTAGATTTGATATTCAGATAAATGGAAACATAAAACACATACACACACAGCCCCAGCTATAAACACACACATACATATTCCTTACTGAAGACTGACTTGATAATTTTAACCTCCTTGTCGCTCCTCTCCAATTCCTGTCCTCATACGTGTGAACTGTGAAGCTAAGTAACTACTTAAGATGTTTGTAAAACAGAAATGGACAGAAAAGGCTGGATATTAAAAACACTGCTACAGTGTTAAATCTGAATCAACTCTAATGAAAAAAGAGAGGTATTAAAGGGTTTACATGACTGCTATGAATGAATAAACTGGGCCTCATTTTTCTCAGTCATAAAGTAGAAAGGAATGTGAAATTTATGCTATATGCCACAAAACAGTGTATTAAAAAGCAAGTGATTATTCTACTCAGCAGAGCACAAATATGCAAATGGAAGTTAAAGATAATAGCCTCACGGCTTGTGAGCTGCTCTGCTTAGTTGTTAATGCAAGAGAAAACAGCCAACCTTGGCAAAATGAAGAGACACATACTAAGCAGGAAATTGTAATGCTGTTAAGAAATATAAACTCTCACAAGTCTAGAGCTGTTTCTTCTTCCTTACAAAAAGACATGGCTTAATAAGTATGAATGAAGAAATAACATGACATCTTAAGGTTTGCCTCTTGCATTCCAGATGCTTGCAAACTGAATAACCAATGATTTGTAAGAGGAAGCTCTGCCTGACATCTCTACTTGGCTTGGACAATGTTGGCAGTAAAATTAAGATTTACCTTCACTGAGAAATGAAAAACTACTGATGCTGAGAACAACTGGGAATTCTGGCCCTTATATACTTGAAATGCAGCTGATTGATAGGAACAATAACAGACTGTTTAGAGGTGATAACTACAGTTCTGGTTTAAATTTATAGGGTATATTTAATGTGCTGCTGTATTTGATCATATATTTGTAGCAAGGCTAATGTAAAAATATTTGAGACAAATGAAGGAAATAAAAACACTGGTAATACAAACTCTTGTTAATAAGAAGTGTATTAGAACTCTTAACGAGAGAGGAAGAAAGCTGCAAGGCCTGAAAAGTTTGTCTACAGAAGCATCCTGTGGATAGAAAAGTTGTGATAGGTCATCCTCCTGCACTCAATTTTAAGTGAAAGCAGCAAAGTATTTGCCTTCAGGATGTGGTATGACTTACAGCCATATCTACCTAATTGAGAACTACTGCTAAAGAAGATGGCCCAGCTTCTCTCCTTTTAGCAATCCTGTGAACAATCTCTTGCCTGTGTGCTTATAGCTCCCCGACCTTAGGGCAAGCCTAGGAAAAGTTCATTTTACTCTGTGGAGAGCTGGTTGAAAGAGCCAGAGGAACTTAAAACTATGGTTAATTTTCTGTTGTCTAGCTCCCCAGACCATCACAGTATCAGATAAACACCAAAGCTGGACTGAGTGAAGCAGTAAGAATGAACTGTCAGAAAAGGGAGGAAATGACCCTTTCAGAAGCAGCTAAGTGTTAATTCAGCTTAGCTGTAACACCAACCTCACTCCAGGTTAACATTTATCAGGACTGTAGGAGAAATCTAGTTATGACTAATTTTTCAGGGTCTGAGAACAAAAGCTGAAGCAAACAAAATACACTGAAAAATGTGTGAACTGTTTATAAGGTGAAGTATCAATGCAAAGAGGAAATGGGTAAATGGAGACTAAAACTGCTGCTGTAAAGACCACAGAAAACCAAAGAGAAAAGAAACTTCAAGAGCTGTCAAGTAAACCTTCAACAGTGACTATTTTACTTGTCTTTTCCAAGTGATCAGCAACTATGAATTTGCAGAATAACTTCTGAGGACAGCCAGCACCCCCATAACCAGATCCAAAGGGTGCAGCTCCCCAAGATAACTGAGCCAACGTAAAAGCTGTGAAAGAGATGGTCACCTGCTGCCCTTCCTGCCACCTCATCCCACTTCCTTCTTCATTGTCTAAGCTGCTGCTGAGTCAGGTCAGCTTCCTGAACCGGCAGGAAAGAAAAAATGGAATTCATTTTCTTCATTGCTCTGCGAGAAAAACTGACTCACCAATGGCTGTGTGCTACTAAGGACTGCATGAACAGTCACAAAGGAGAGAACCATGCAAGTGGGGGAAAAAACCAAAAATGAAGATGAAGTTCAGATACTGCCCCATTGAAGGCAGCAAGCTGTCAGCATGACTCAGTGGTCTCAAACACTCACCTAATAATATATGCTAACTGGATGATGGAGGAACACATAAATCACAACGTACTTTAGACATTTCCCAGTTTTCACCTTCTCTGAAACATTTACATTTGAAAACTAGCTTAAGCAATATTAACTGCTGGATATCTTGGATAAAAGCAAAACCAAGAACATTTCCTATTTCACTAATCAATGGTCTTACAGATGGAGAGCGTTTCCTTCAGAAGCCACACCAAAGCATGTTCCTTGCTGCTCAGAACCAAAGAGTCAAATCTTTGCTTTTCCACAGCACAGCATGAAGACTCTTAAAGCCCTAAATGTTCAGCTTCCAATTTTCAAATCACTACACTCCAGGAAACCAGGTACAAAATGACCCCAATGCTTTCCATCCTCTTTCAAAACATTCCATAAAAGCTTTATAATTCACAAGGAACAAAAAAGCATTTTTACATGGAACATTTGTAGGCCAGCTTGGCTCTCCAGTTTGCAGCTTTTCTCATCTGTTTGCACTGTGATCTCCGAAATATTATTATTTATGAACTGCTCCCTTTTTCCTTTGCTTGACTGGATCACTGCACGCCAACATACGCTTTCTAAAGCTTAGTGTGAAGGCAGGTCTCGCAGACAAAAAGTCCACAGGTGCAAAAATATCTAGGTCAGATTATTAGGAGACTCACACGAGCAGAAGTTAGAATTCACTTGCTAATTCTTCCACCCCATTCAAGTGAGTTACTGTAGGGCAAAGATAT